GGAAATATCATTTAGGTGATTTTCCAAACAAACTTGAAACACATGCACAATAGCAGATACATGTTGACTTCTCAACTAGCTGGTAAATTCAATTGGCTAAAATTTGATCTTCTTTCTACCCCTCCCATTTTTTTCTTGCACTCTCTCATTCAATACAACTAAAAATCTTCTTCTCTCTGTGTTAAAGGGCAAGAAAACAGAGGCATCTTCTTCATCATCGGCAGTGATAAATGATGGGGGCATGACGATGTATTCAGAGCCAATTACGCAAAACAGTGTCCCTGAAACACCTACTACAGCACCATATGTGGAAAGCCAAGAAGTGAGTGACACCAAGGTCTTAATGTCAGAGCTTTTCTATCATTTCTACAGCCTTGGGTGGTTATCAGGTACTGGAGGCAGCATCACAATTGAAGTAAATGATCACTCCATTCCTAGACCTCATCAGCTCATTGTCATGTCTCCATCTGGTACCCATCTATCTTTATCTGCTTTAGTACACACATGATATATTGTATGTCCATATGTAGGTATTCATGCTTACATACACATTGTTGGTACACTATGTGGCTACATGTGCATAAATATCTTTATCTGCTTTAGTACACACATGATATATTGTATGTCCATATGTAGGTATTCATGCTTACATACACATTGTTGGTACACTATGTGGCTACATGTGCACATTTATGCACATGCACACACAGATGTAGATGTGTATGTGAGTATACATATTCCTTTGTATGTATGTGTACTATTTACTTGGTTGGTTTTTTGGTTATTGTTTGTATGTTCATGACTGTTTCAGTAGGTGTGAGTATTCCAATATAATTATAGCTTTATATTTATGATAGTATCTTCATTGTTGGTTAATTTTCGTTTCAGCTAGACGCATGAGGTGTCAGTATCGTGCTTCTGGATGTACTACAATTGGTAAATGATACTTGCTCTGCATGTTAGATTCCTAGTTGATTAAACTTAAAAAATCTGCTCGTATATATGTTGCTGATACTCCAAACGGTAGTTAAATTTTCATTTTGC